GGCATTGTCACTTGCAGCGATCTAACTATTTTGCATGCACATAGATGAAAGCAATCAGCCACCAATCACTCACCCAGAACGTTCACAACAGCCATGTGCACAAACCCACCGATGTTGATTATGACATGCCACACATAGCGCGTGCGAATTGTTGAGTGTGGTGCACGTCAGACGGGATTTCACGTCACGTAAGTAGAAATCTGAAAGGCGGTGAGGTCGTCCCACCTGAGAAAATTCAATATGCTGTAGATAAGAGTTGGTATGCATTTCGAGCCAATATAATGAATAAAAGAAGAGGTTCTTCAGAAAAATCTAGATGTACTCGTGAATTTTTGAGCTGGCGACACCAACCCATCGTCAGAAGATACGAAAACAAGGGAGAAAGTTAGTTTGTCACAGTAGACAAGGTAGCGCGATAGACTGTTGGTCTATGAGAGGGATGGTCACAGAGTCATGGTGAGTCTCTGCTGGGCGTGGAGTGTGTGTAGCGCGTATAGGCGAGTTGTGTAGCTTTTTCTAGACATTGAACCCACGTCCACATCCACTGTTCTGTCATTGAAGCAAGGTGGTTGGGTCAAAACGAGTGCGATAGATGCTGTGCAAGTCACCAGTACTGCCCTCACTTCGTGGGAAACACGATGGACGTCGTCACTTGTGACGGTCAAATTATTTCATGCACATAAGTGAAGGCGATGAGTAGGAGAGCAGCTATCAATCGCGCACCAAGGACGTTCATAATAGCTTTGTGCTCAAATCCACCGGTGTTGATAATGACAAGCAACTGGTGCTGCGTTTGAATTGTTACGTGTGGTGCACGTCAGACGGGATATCACGTTACGTAAGTAGAGGGGTAAAGGTGGGGAGGTCGGCCCACTCCGGACAATGTAATGTAGCGTGTAATGACATGACGCACCAAACTCGTGAATTGGATGGTTGCTTAATCACTGGACAAATCGACTCTGTCCAGAACTGAACGCCAGATCGCAATGCCTCCTACATAATGCAGCCTACCCGACGTCGTCCAGTACGTGAGACCGGAGAGTCGGTTTCTGTGGGACCGCGTGCGTGTGTCGCGCGTAGATTTGGCCTCTGTCTCATCAAGTTTCCCATCCGCGCATGTCTCCAGTCAACTGAAACATGCCCGCCACTGGTATTTGACATTTATGGCAAAAGGAGTGAGCTGATGTTCAAGCCATGAGCGAGTCATCATTACATCCTCTGGGCAGCATACACCCACGTCATCTGCTATGGATAAACTGTCACAGGGTTTTACCACAGCTCAGTACGAAAATACGCATGTCTATTCCATCGTTAGAATCGACCCAAAACTTTGGAATAATAATAAACTACTCCTCGCGATGCTCGATCTCTCTTCCTCATCCTCGGCAGTGTATTGTTTCTCAACGTGCCGGATTTTATCCGGTTGTTCCGACCGTGCCTACTTGTCCTCGAACGGGACCATCTTAGGTGCGCCTGCTCTCAGACCTGTACCTGTTTGTAGCCTAGATGCACGTCTAGCCCTAAGTGTCAGCATTAGATTCAGGCCTCCATGGCGCTCTCACTCATGTTAGATCCGAACCGCCCTCTTACCCCCCCCCACCTGAGAATCTGGTGATTCTGTGGAGACCAGTCGTCATGACATTGTCTTGGCATCGGATGTGTGTATGTGTGCCAGACTCTACGCCGGTCTGCATGATTATGAACCCTTTCAAGCGCAAGTCACGGGATGCTACGCCTTAACGCGGTGAAAGTCGTTGCCTGCTACAATCGATCTGTCAATCTAATGTGTAAAGCAAACAGTCCTTTCTCCACGACGAAAGCTGTAAAAATGTACATCTGTTCTTTTTAACTCATTGGGGACGGCTATGCGGTTTACTCCATCGCTGCCGACGCGTCAACTTCAGGTACGGAGGCTATCTGCTGGGTAACTGGGCAAAGCCTCGGCGAGAGATCGCCACGACCACGTCCATATTTTGGAGAAACCTAACTGACAAAGTCAAGAGTGGCTGCAGTGGGCATTTGTTTTTGATTTTTCGTTGTCATCTAGTCATTCAGTCATAGTAGAATGCAAGACCGGCGGTGCCCTATCCGGTTGGTCATTGAGGCCGGAGATTTTTCAGCTGGACAACGAGCGTACGCCCCGTCGACTTCGATGAGGGCATATTCGGGGTCAGGCTGGAGTGGATTTGAGCCATTTGACCACATTGTGATCAGCCAGATATGGCAAGCAACGGCCACTGCAGTCTCCCATGTTCTGTCAGTACCGTGCCTCCATTATCAAGTAGGACAGATCTAGTCTGACTTAAGCGAAGCCGAAGTAATGGTACTCGTCGCGGTCTGGGGTAGCCCAGATCCCATTCGACTAGTCCGTCTCTAATGGAATTCGCAACCTACTACTTGATCGCGTTCTCTCCCTAAACTACCAAATCAGGGCCACAAAATGACCTTGGAAGCCGTCAGCATTAGTACATGGCGATCGTTTCCATGACCCACTTGCGGAGCCTAATGGCCGGACCTCCTCGCAGCGTTATCTAGACTTTCGTTGACAAAACAGAGTCTTACCGATCTTGTTCAGGGCCGCAGTCGTCCCTTTGTGCCTTGGGGCTAAGTCCCGAGCCCCACCAGCAGCCACTCAGCGGCAAAGTGTGTGGCGTAATGCGCTCGCTGAGCGCCCCTCTACCACTGTTGATATGTTCAACCAGAGCCGACAGGACAAGGAGCCCATAACTCGGTGGTTAGGGCGTTGGACGTTTAATCAACAGGTCGCGGGTTCGAGCCTCAGGGTTTGCAAAACACGGGTGTTGGGTAGGCCTAGCTGATGGCGGCCAACACGCCAGAAACGTCCATTTCAGTCTTCTTTGTCTCTGTCGGTAATGTTATTTTGCATACCAAGTCACATTTATCAACACTAAAACGAATTTCTGGTTTTTTTCCTAAACATTTGTGCCGCGTCTTAGCTGCACTTTATGCTTGCACTGGACGAAGCGCAAGACGAAATCAGCCAACATTATATTGGCTACTGGTACATTTTAAACTCCTTAAATCTTAATAAACAGTCCCTGCGCAGTGGTATGCTGTGTTTCTTCACATACCGACTAGCACCTGCGGTGGCGTACTTTTCTGCGCAAGAGGGCCTCTTCAGTTGCGGTATTACCTACATATTGGCCCATTATCATGCCAAATAGCAGTGCTAAAAGCGCGTAATGCTTCCGGCCATATTTCTCGCGCTGTAGCGACGGAAGACATGCCAACTGCGAACTGATGTTAGTTACGTCTGCGCTGTGCCCAACAGTGTCTGACTTTCGCACGTTAACCTGTGCAAATATAGCATTAAAGGTCCTATAGGCTGCGGCAAATACGCCATTGGAGTGTGGAATGGTTTCTTTCACAGTCGATAGGAGATGCTCCCTGGCTGCGACGTTAGCCAGCCCTACGCTCGTGCTGATTTCACCCAGACTGAAGCATCGTTGGTCTTGCTACTACTTTCATTACTACCAACACCCCTACCACTACTAATAATAATAATAATAATACCGCCACTTCTACATCGATGTCGATGAGGGAATATTTGGAGTCTGTTTGGTGTGGATTTGTGCATTTAACCACTAGATTACTGGACCGAATGAGGACTTTGCGTTTTGCTTGGGAGCTCTCAGGTCTGTGTCTCTTTTAGCCTAGACGTGCATCCAGCTCCAGATGTCAACGTTATATCCATGCTGCAAGCATTCTTCAGTGTGACCAGGTTGCCGACTACTACCTACTACTACTACTACTACTGCTACTACTACTACTACTACTACTACTACTACTACTACTACTACTACTACTACTACTACTACTACTACTACTACTACTACTACTACTACTACTACTAATACTAC